ATTATAGTGTTGGTGACCTCTCTTTTCATCCACCTGCAATAGGTAATTCAATAACAAATTATACCTTAGTAAATAGATATGTAAGTATTATGGAGTTTCATGCATGCTATAGATGTAAATAAATTTGCAACTAACACTATGAAATGAGGATAAAAAATAAAAAATAAAAAATAAAAAATAAAAACAAATATCTCCAATAAGACATTTTAAGTTTTTGGAGTCATGCCAGTACAACTACCAAATATTAAATTATAATTGTAATAAGGTGCAAACATACATATAAGCTAAACACTTAATAAGTACACAACACGTTGAATTTGTAACACTACTTGACTTCAATGTTGAAAATAAAAATCCCTACTCCTACTGTTTGTACTGTACGCAGTGGACCAGCTAGGTTTACATGCTAAACTACAACAATTGACTCGTACACTTGCGAGGACATATTAAAATTGTCTGCTATCCAAAAATCGTAGAAGTATCAAAGATAATTTAAGTACTAAGTGGCAAACCATTATCAAAATAATATATCAAAGATAATTTAAGTAGGTATAAACTTACATGGCAATCTCTAAATCTAGAATTTAGTATTATAGTGTTGGTGACCTCCATTTTCATCCACCTACAATAGGTAATTCAATAACAAATTATACCTTAGTAAATAAATATGTAAGTATTGTTTAAAAAAAAAAAAAAAAATTTGCGAAGTTAAATTCCTTTGCTAACAGAATGGAATAGATGTAAATAAATTTGCAACTAACACTATGAAATGAGGATAAAAAATAAATAAATAAAAAAATATCTCTAATAAGACATTTTAAGTTTGGGGAGTCATGCATGTACAGCTACCAAATCTCAAATTATAATTGTAATAAGGTGCAAACATACAAATAAGTTAAACAATTAATAAGTACACATCACGTTGAATTTGTAACACTACTTGACCTCAATGTTAAAAATAAAAACCCCTACTCCTACTATTTGTACCGTACGCAGTGGACCAGCTAGCATTGATAACTTAGGTATAATAATCAGAACTAGAAATAGCAATCCTTGGGATCATTAGAAGTATGTAGTTTGAATGAACAATTAATTTAACTAAATTTTAATGATGCACATTAAAAGAGTTTCAACTTAACTAAATAAAAGTATCCTTTCAAAAAAAAAAAAAGTATATTACAAAAGCTGTGACTATCTTAACAAGTGACACAATTTCAATGTATGTACAATCAAACTGTAAAACACAATTTGAATTATGCACATGCACATAATAAATGGACAGACCTTTTAGTAACATAATAACTTTTTATACTATAATTAAAAACAAAATCATATTTACTTAATTTTTCCGCCCAAACAATAATAAATAGTAAAGGTAAATTAAAAAAGGAACGGAAATTAAAAAAGGAACAGAAATATTTCACAATAATATTCTACATCATCAATTAAAAATGGAATGAAAATTAGGTAAATTAGAAAAGGAAATGAATATTAATAATTGGCTAAAAATTAAAAATGAAAAAAAAAAAAAGGAATAGGAGTTAGGTTAATTGGAAAATGAAATGAATATTAAGAATTGACTGAAAATTAAAAAAAAATAAAAAAATAAAAAGGAAAAGGTACAAATAGGCCATTGAACTATTTGGGGGGATAACAATTAAGCCACCGAACTCAAATAAGCTCCAAATTCATCCATGAACTTGGAAAAAAAGTGCAATTAGCATTTTTAGCAGGTTAACATCAAGTTTGGGTTGCCATGTGTATATTTATTTTATATTTTATTATTTTTATTACCCTACTAAGCATTTGACCCTCTTCCTGGATGTCTTATTTTCCTGATTTTATGTCTTGACGTGTCGGGTACTGTATTTAAAAATAATACAATATTTTTTTTGTTTCAAAAAAATAATTTTTTTTAAATTTTATTTTAATAATTTTAAATAAATAATTAATTTGAAATTTAAAAAAAATAAATAAAAAACCTCCATGGCTAGGACCCTTCATCTCCGGCCAGCTAGTCATGGAGACGAAAGGTCCCCTTCGTCTCCTGCAAAACTTTTTTTTTAATTTCAAAATAATTATTTTATTTATTTTATTTATTTTATTTTTTTTGCATAATTATTTTATTTGAAATTATTAAAATAAATTTTTAAAAATATTTTTAAATACAGTACCTGACACGTCAGGAAATAAAATTAGAAAAATATTACATCCAGGAAGATAGTCAAATGCCTAGTACCACGATCTATTTGTACCTTTTCGCAATAAAAATGATCCATAATTGATTAAAATGGAAAAGGAAATGGTCAGATCATTGCATTTTAATTTTTCACAATAATATTACACAGTAGAATAAATCAAATCACAATTATATCGTAAGTCTTTCACAATTTTAAACAATTGAACGAAAATTAAAAATGGAACGAAAATATTTCAACAATAATGTTCTACATCATCAAGTAAAGGTAAATTAAAAATGGAAAGGAAATATTCCAATAATAATATTCTACATCATCAATAGTAAATGCATATTTTAAACAATAGTAAAGGTAAATTAAAAATGGAACGAAAATTAAAAATGGAACGAAAATTAAAAATGAAACGGAAATATTTCAATAATAATATTATACACAAACAATTAAAAATAGACCAGAAATTAGGTTAAAATATCACTACATCTGATATTCTAATTGACTAATTGACTGAAAATAAAAAAGAATAATTGGATGAAAATGAATATGATATTACTAATTGACTGAAAATATAAAAGAAAGTGAATATTAATATTTGACTACAAATAAAAAGTGATTCATAATTAACTAAAATGAAAAAAAGAAATGGTCAGATCATTGCATTTTAATTAAAAATGGAACGGAAATTAAAAATTGGACAGAAATATTTCAATAATAATATTCTACTTCATCAATAGTAAATACATAGTTTAAAAATTAGTAAAAGTAAATTAAAAATGGAACAAAAATATTTCAATAATAATATTCTACATCATCAATTAAAAATCGAACGGAAATTAGGTAAAAATATCACTGCATTTGATATTCTAATTGACTAATTGACTAAAAATAAAAAAGAATAATTGGCTGAAAATGATTCTGATATTACTAATTGACTGAAAATATAAAAGGATCACTAATAATTGACTGATATTCTACCATTATATATTTTCACCCGTGTCATCACCCATCCTAATAGACTGAAGCTGTAAGCTCTAGACGAGGATAGAAAAGATTGTGTTGTTATTACCAATGTCATCTACAAAGATGTTTCAATAATGTGTAAATACAGTCGGTGATTGATAAGCCTCAACATATACTTAATTTCCAGTAGTTTTTCTAAGGAGTTGTGCACTAGTTTTGACTAATAAGTCATGCTTTTAGAGCAAAATATCCTAAAAGTACAGCTTGGCACAAAAATACCTTTCCGACTACATTTTATTTGTTTTCAGGTGTTTTTTGGACAGAAAACGTGACAAAATGGCAAAAAGGTCAAGGTCGAGGAAAGCACGTGAACGAGGACCGAACACACCGGGACTACGCACGAGAAGAGGGACGACATGGGAATTATTTCCCATTTTCATAACCAAATTTCATTACAATATTTTACCTTTTTTCAATTGAAATTCAACTAAAATCATAGCGGAAGCATTAACTAACCAAAATAAATGGGTGTTACCGCCGCACTTAGGCAACCAACTACCTAAGTGCTAAGGCTAAAATTACAACTTACAATAAACAATCCAAATCCAACTTATAATACAATATGGGGAAAATACTTTACAACCACAATATTCATCAAAATAATAAATCTTCGCCATATAGAGATTCTTAGATAGACTTAACTCCTTAACTTCATTTCATTTCAAATCCCTTTATCCATGTTCACCTGTAAAAATAATTTGCAACAAAATAAGGTGTAGACAAAAATTAGCATAAGCTCAGTAAGCTTCACTTCACCCCGTAAAATAATAGGCTTGGATTTTTATATCTTCAAAACTCATATAATTTTATACTTTTCCAAAATGCATGTGAAGTTATACTTTTCCTTCTATAGAGAATTAATATTTATAAGTGGAGAATTAACAAACCTCATCGAAATTCACTTAGAATCTGGACTAAAACCTATGTGCACACCCCGAGGGGATTCCAAGCCCCTGGGTAGTATATGATCCAAGTAGTTAGGTTTTCCTACCTAATACCACTCAAACAATTTGGAAACTGGATTATAACCTAAGTGTTACACCCTCATGGGATTCCAAACCCAATGAGTAGTAATTAGCCCAAGTGAACAATACTCACATTTATTGAACACTCACAATTTAATGATTTCTCTAAAATCATATTATTTCTCCACAGATAAACATTTTCTCCACAAAAATACAATTTTCTCCAGAATATATAATTTTCTCCAAATACATTTTTCTCAAAAATACAATTTCCTTCAAAATACATTTTCTCCACATGATTTGTCCAAAATATAATTATAGTACATAATCCAGTAGTAACACAAGTTTAACCGTACATCACACCAAAAATTTACCCAGCCAAGTTTTCACACACAAGGCTCGACACGTCAAAGCCCATTATTGATCACAACCACATGCCAAATTATCCCTCATAAATCCATAAGTTCTCATAATTCAGTTCACACTATAGTTTCACAGATTACCAAATCTCATAATTTCATACTTTTCATTTATATACCATAATTCACAAATTAAATAATTCCTTAATCTCACATAATTTTTCATAACATTCACATAATATCACCATTCACATGTATATCCACAATTTACAACAAATTTCATAATTCATATAAATCCATAATAATCATTTTATACACCTTAACAAATAATCATATAATCACATAATTATATTATTCCATAATAAATATTACACATAATCTCGTAGTAAATAATTTTGACTTGGGGTAAAATAAATTTAGATAGACATAAATCTTACCTAAAAGTAAATAGTCCAACATCAATGTCAAAGGTTGTTGAGAAGGTTGGTAATGTTATATCTAAAGACGAGGAGTTTCGGCGTGCTTTGAATGATGTTGTTTGGTGTGAGACGTTGTCCGTGGAGGAGTTTGAGCGGGGTTGGCAGGATGTAATGGAAAAGTATAGCCTTGGTGATCACCGGTGGTTTCGTCTTATGTATGATCTGAGATCGTATTGGATCCATGCGTTTTTTAATGATCTTTTCATAGGTGGTTTGCTTCGCACGACATCTAGGTCCGAAGCTGCGAATAGTGTGTTTGGTAGTTGCACAAACCAACATGCTAGTTTGTCTGAGTTGTTCAACAATTTTGAAGGGGCTATTGATGCTCAACATTTGGCGCAGGCCAAACTGAATGTCGAATGTGAGGGCCACTTTCCTTTGTGCCAGACTCCATTGTTGATTGAGAAGCATGCGGCTGCGGTGTATACTGTCAATGTTTTTTATGATGTGCAAGCCGAGGTTATTGCGGGATCTTTTTCGTGTTGTTCTGTGCGTTCAAATGTTGAAGGGCTGGTAACCCGGTATGAGGTTCAAGATGGTGATGAGCCGGTGAGCACCGTGAGTTTTGACTCTGGTAATGTTGTTGTCGAGTGCACGTGTAACATGTTTTCACGGGTTGGGTTACTTTGTCGTCATATTTTCTGGGTTTTCAAGGATCGTAGCGTTGTTTCTATCCCTTCTCGGTATGTGGTCGCACGTTGGACAAAGGGAGCTTGTGTGCGGCAGTTGTTGGGTGTTCAACGTGGGGGTGCTTCGGAGGTAGATGTTGCAATTGGTGAAGCTTGGGCAGAATTCTTTTCGTGCGTGACCATGGCTTCACGAAGTGTTGATCATGTTACCAAGTTGAATGCAGCTTTGAAAGATTTCAATGCTTTTTTATTGGCTGAGAATGGTCCTAGCGTTCGCTCTTCTTCTTCTAAGAAGTAACTATTTGAGTCGTTTTGCGGTGCTTCGCCCGATGGTCAAGTTGATGTTCGTCCTCCTCCAATCTCTAATAACAAGGGTGGTGGCAAACGTTACAAAATTACAAGGGAATTAACTATTGAAAAGTCGGGTCGTCGCCAACGCCAATGCCAAACTTGTGAAAAGTATGGGTATAATAGTCGTACCTGCCCGATGCGCAACATTGACGTATGAGGGAGGGGGTTGTATTGCTCTTTGGATTAAATTTAAATTTAAACACATTGCTATGTTTTTTACTTCACCACTGACTTGTTTTTATTCTGCATTTGATGTTGGTTTTCAATAATGGATTTGGTTTGTTTTGTTTATTGGATTTGTGTTTCTATTCTGTGGAATAATTTTATATTATCCGTTTTTTAGATAAGATGGACATGGTATTATTTTATTCTTTTTTCCCCTATTCTGAAACCACCTCCAACTTGCACAGTATAGTTTTCTGTCGCTGCACATGGTCACTGGAATTTTGTGCAAATTTGCACGTATGCTTCCTTCAATGTTGCACAACAATTCATCTGTCTTGTAAACGACTATACGCGTTTTTTGTTTTTTTATTTTGATTCCCCTATTTGTTAACACCCGCCTAATGAACAGTTTAGGTTAGGTACTGGGACATTGTATCTGTTTTTGTGTGTTGTCTTGCACATTCAGTTCCTTTGATGTACCCTATTATTTCGACTAAGGGGTGTCATGCAAACATGCATGTTAATAAAACTTCAATGTTAAGTTGCTTTATTACCGGCGCACCGACGACCCCCTACCGTGATGCATTTTGTATTTCTGTGTGGGTGCACATCATCATAACGTGTCATAATCTATTTAGCGGACTATGGGTTATTTATTTTTTACATACGATGGTATTATTTTATTCTTTTTTCCCATATTATGCAGCCGCATCCCACTTGCACAGTACAGTTCGTTGTCGTTGCACACGATGACTGGAATTTTGTGCACATTTGAACGTATGCTTCCATCAATGCTGCACAACAATTCATCTGTACTATAAATGACTATACGCGTTTGTGTGTTTTATTTTGATTCCCCTCTTTGTTAACTTCCCCATAACGCACAGTTTAGGTTAGGGCCTTGGCCATTACATCTGGTTTTGTGTGCTGTCTTGCACATTCGGTTCCTTCGATGTACCCTATCATTTCGACTAAGGGGTGTCATGCAAACATGCATTTTAATAAAACTTCAAAGTTAAGTTGGTTTATTACCGTCGCGCCGACCCCCCCCCTACCGTGATGCATTTTCTATTTCTGTGTGGGTGCACACCATCTTAACGTGTCTTAATCTATTTAGCAGTCTACGGGTTATTTTTTGTTGACATTTATCATTGCATTAATACAGTCACCGGCGATGCACATACTGATTCATCCAGATGTAACTTATTTGCACAATGGTGTACTCCACTGATGCACGAATTCATGAGGGATATGCATTTACAGCCGATGCACATAGTGGTTCATCTTTTACGTCTTAGTCTTTTATATAAAAACCATGCATCTGCATTTCGCACAACTTTACCAAAAAAATAATTGTCCATCGCAAAAAACTTCTTGCAACTTCTAAACCTTTGATTGTTGTCCTTATTCGTGTCTTTTAAAGTCGTCAAAAAAATGCCGAATCACACATCTTACTGCTTAACGGAATTGCATGAACACTCCCTGGCCGAACAGTGGTGAGCTTTGGAGGTTTTTGCTGTGTTGCTCATTACATTCGCTGAGTAGGATATCCTTCATGTACTTCGCTCGGAATGTTTCTATTGTGGCCTTGTCTCCCCACATTCCCAACTCTTCGCTTTCTCCCCAATGAAGCATTCCATGTGCCTCATTGTATATACTCCACTGTCTGGGTTTTCTATTGCATCCCTCCAAGGCATTTGCATTCTCTTTGGTTCCATTTCCAGTATTTCAGCCGCCCTTTTATGGTCTTTGTTATCGTCTATGAAGCACCCGAGCATGTCCTTCTGGTTTCATACATACACACGGTTAGTAACTTTTATCATATCACCGGTTGTCATTATTTCAATCTGTATTTCAACTGTAATTATTCCCTAATGCTACACATTTATATCTATATTGCACCTAAAGAGCAGTAATGGATGCACAATTTCTCTTTTTTTTTTCTCATTTCCACAGTGTATCCTTTTTTTTTTTCATATCACACTCTCCACATTTCCACTATCTGTTTCTCTTTTTCTTTTTCATCCCTCATGCAGGTTTTTTAAATCACAGCTGTGCTCATATTCTTTGCATTTTTTTTCAACTGGTACCCAAATTATTTTACACGCATATGATTAGAAGTTCTTACCAAAATATCAGGGACTTTCCCATACACTTCCTCTTTTTTTCCAGCGGATGATTTGTCAATGATTTGCATTGTCCCTCCCCTTAGATCGGCGGCGATGACATAGTAGTGAGATTTGTTAAATATTGGGAATATGAACTGTATTGCACATTCATCTCAAATTGGTTAGCAAGAACTTTTTAAATCCATGAACAAATACATTTCATACTTCTTACCCATTTAAGTCATATGTTAACTTACCATGTCAATCTCTGCCCACTTTTTGTATGGGCTGAACGTCATCTCGCTTTTCATTTTCTTTTTAAATAGTTTGAGCTGTTGTGCTCGTGTCCCTGTCCATCCCACCACTGTTTCCATCTGTGCATGCATACATATTCAGATTAAATCCAATACAGTATTCATATTATTTGAGTATTTCAAGTATTCCTTTTTTTTTTAAACAGAATTTGTATACCATTAGTTTGGTTGATGCAAAGAATCGTGTGGGATGAAGGATTGGTTTTTCCCGTTCATTGTCATTTAGTACGCATGCCCAGGTGTCTATAACTGTCGCATTCACTTCCTTGCCCGTGTCCAGTGTCATCATGTCAGATCTTAATGCTCGTTGGTCGTTGAAGTGGAAGAGCTCCTCGTCCCTGTGTGTCAGCAAATCAGGTGATGTCTAATATTATTTTTCATTAGTTGCTGAATTCTAATGTAATCTTTCTTACTTGTCAGCATTTGCATTATGGATTATCCACTTCTTCATCTCACTTTGGGTTGTAGAGTACCATTTTGTGAGCTCTCTTCGTGCAATACGATCATGGTCTGACAGTGTGCCTGGGTTTTGTGGTAAGTTGGTCGTGTTGCCTTCAGTTCTTTGCATTTTCATTGGTGCCCTTTCTATGGTCCCTCCTTGGTCTCCTTTGTCCTTTCCATTCGGGTTAATCAGTTGCTGCAAAATGTGTGATTTAAAATTAGTCTCACACACGGTTTTCTGGTCACTGTATGCCCAATGTGATGACTATTACAGTTCTATTAAACTTTTCGAGACTAGTATATTTAATTTCACAAATCTTGCTACATTTCAGAGGTCTAATATCTATACCATGTACATCTGTTGAATATGTTAACATTGCAATTGAATTTACCACATTGTTGCACAATCACTTCCCAAACATTTCACACAATTACTGCCCAAACAGTTCACACATGCACAATCACCAACTTTTTATTTCAAACTCATTTCCAAACATTTCACACATCCACTTTCCAAACATTTACCTATTTTAAATCAAGCAACATTGGAATTTTGTTACCCACTATCATGCACATTATCTTACTTTTTATTTTTTTTCTTAACTTAGCTTCTATCAAATCTAGCACGCAACATACCTCCGGAGGTGTGAGGAATGAGTCTTCTGGTTGGTTTGTCGTTGGGTGCATATCATTGCCGTGTATCGATGCGATCCTGGTTTCTCTTCCTTCATCTTCCGTCTGCATCGCTTCTTCGCCCTGCGTTCTCGAACATCAAAATCACACTCACAAGCTGATATTGTACAAAATTATATATATGTGGTGCATATTAAATTTGACTCATTTCTTAACATTCCTTTTTTTACTTACAGCATCATCTGCAATCACGTTGTCCTCATTTGGTTCGCACACCTGCGGTATATTGTTCACCTCCTGGGTTAAGCCTAGGCTGAATGATGGCATTTCATCTGCTGTCTCGTTGCTACCCATATGCACGTTTATCTCATTTTGTACTTCTGTCTCCTTGTCGCCTAAATCCCCTTCGCCCCCCTCCTCATCTTTACTTTTTGATGCACTGCTCAATGGCTCTTCGGCACCTTGTGTTTCGGGTTGTGCCTGATTCTGATTGCACTTTGCTCTCGCTGCCACATATCGTTGTCCTACTCTTAACAGCAACTTTCCCGCCTCCACTAACTTCTCGTAGGTCGTATGAGTCAGTGTGCACTTTCCAGCTTCATCCGCAAGTTTACTGAGATCTTGCACTTTATTTATAACTTGGTTTGCATCCTCTGTAAATCGTACCTCCATAACCTGCCATTTTGTGTTCCAGATTGTAAGTACTAACCAATTCAAGTTACTGGTTTTTAACCAATTAAAGTTACTTATTCAATTAACCTTATAAGTTTTTACCTTTACTGGATCTTTAGCTTCATCTTCTTGGTTTTCTTCTGTGTTGTGCTCGTTCAATTGCTCGTCTTCTTCTCCGTTTGTCTCAATCACTCCTATACCAAACCCGCCCTTTTTTACCTCGACAAACTCACGCTCGTTTAACAGCTTTGCGGTCCAGCCTATGAATGTTGGCCTGTTTCGCTCGACATATCGGCATGGGTTCACAACTTTATCTATGTACAGCATCTGCATTTTCATTTGTCATGTAGTTATTATTATAATCATAACCTCAATACACGTATTACCATTTAACCTTACGGCAAAATTACAAATAATTACACACAGAATGCTGAGCTTATCGTTATAAATAGCAATGGTCCAGTAAATTTTTTGTGATGTTTTGTCACCCATTTGTTGTGACATTCAACTAGCTCGTCAATCAAATACTTGCACCAATTCAGTTCCCTTATCTTGCTCACATCCTTTAGCTCGTGCATGATTGATTGATTTGCATATCCATTTTGTTGGATGCAAATTAGGATGTTTGCCACTACGACTGTGAAGTGCTTCTTGAACCAAATTCCACCATCTTTTTGCTCCTTTAACAACAACCCTATCATGTAAGGGGTTATTTTGTGGTCCCCCTTTTCCTATTGTGTTCTCCATGCATCGAGCTCGGCACATTTTGCATTCCGACTCCTCTTTTTAATCTGCCTGGGTCCTTGTGGAAATCCAAGGACTGCCTCCACATCCTCTTCTGTTATCTTTAGCATCCGGCCATGTCCTAAATTTAATGTTTTTGTACTCCCGTCAAAGTTCTTCATCAACCAATGCCCCATTCGTAGAGGCGTGTCTTCGACCTTCAGTTTCAACAAATCCCCAAAGCCCAGTTCCCTGACAGTATTCCTTTGCAGCGATCCAAATTTTTTCATGGGTTCAACGAGGTGTTTTTCCATAGCCCGGGTCTCGAATTTTGGAAACTGTGCCTCCTCTTCAGGTAGTAGTTCGTATACTGAGCACTCATTTGCATTCTGTCTTTGCGGTTGCCGGTCTACTTTTGGTGGGCTTACGAAGTCTTCATCAAGGTTGGGATCACTCACAACACCTGGCTGCACCTTTGTTGTTTTTGTCTTCTTCCCTGCACAAATATTCACCAAAAAGAACAAACACAAATGGCATAGCTCAGTCTGCAACAAATGCCACGTGCCGTCGTTTTAGAATACATATGGACCGGCTGTAGCTTGCTCGGTAACACATGCACATCATTAACAAGCTCAGACAGATGCACATAAACTATTCATTTACTACGCACAAACATGTACACCAATAGATGCATTCATTTTTTATCCCTTACATGCACAGTTAAACACATTTACTTTCATACACTATTCTGCCTCCTTCTTCATTGCATATATTTAATATCTTTCATAACATTTCATAGATTATTTAAATCTGGTTGCAGGTAAGGGGTCCCATTAATTATCCTTTTTAATTGCTTTCTATGGTGCAGGTCGGGGGTCCCATTTACTCTCTTATTTTAAATTCCTTTCTAAGTGGAGACACTAAGAAAAAGACAAACTTTGGTCAATCTTTTATTGTCCTATAACCTAACTGTTTCTTTCCCCATCTGCTGCATTGTGGTCCCCCAATTCACTTTTTCCTAAATTTGCAGCCAATCATGTATTCATGCAATGTGTTCTTTATTCCCTTTTCTGCACAACATTATCCATTCCTATAATTATTTAAATTGCACATATGCACACAGTTACAAAATCAGGCAAAATAATAACAAAAACAGGCAGAATAACATCATCCATTCCTCTCATTATCTAATCTATACACTGCATAAGTTTCATACACCCCCTCCATCATAGTTTCAAAACCAGCCAGAATACTATGCACACCAAACAAAAAACAAGGCGTTTTCATTTGTGCATTATAGCATACCAACACCGTGCTTCTTCATCATGAGTAACTAAACAGCCATGTTTTTTCCACTGTTGGTAATCTTTACTAAAAAAAAATTTAAAATAATAATAATAATAATCAGAACAACCATCGTCTATCACTGCGTACAGAGGTTCTCCCCGGAAACAACCCACTTCTACCCCGCTATTTATGTTAAGTTCTCCCCAACCTCGCCTGTAATTCGGATTCCGGCCGAATCGCCACATTCAACAACTACATGCACTTTGTTTTTTTTTCCCCCAATCAAACCCACCATTTTTCAGTTATTTAACCCATCATCAACTAACACATACATCCAATTGCATTTTGCACTCAATCGCTCATAAAAAATCAAAGCGATTATTTAAATAAAAAACAAAAAAACCCTTACGCAGTCTACTCATTGCATCGATCGACGCACGCCGGGTGCTCCGCCTTGGTGTTCCGTCCGCCATTGATTCCGGTGTTGAAATCGCCGGTCGGAGTTCGTCTTTGGTGCTGTCCTTTCTTCTGCTCCAAGTGTCGCCAATGTGCAAAATCGACAACCTCCTTACTATTAGCACGTTTAAACCCTACGCGTTAAGACCCGTAAACAAATGGTTTTCCTTCCTAGTCTTGCACAATTAACACTCTAATTACTTTTTTACCCCCAAATTAATTACAAATTAAGTTATTAGGCTGGGTTAGGGGCGTTTGAATTCCATCCAGGCATCATCTTTGGGCCGTTAGATCGTCTCATCTGATGGTGGGATTTTATCCTCAAACCTCACTGAACACATAAACCTCACTAGAACCTCACCCTCTATATATATATATATATATATATATATATATATATATATATATATATATATATATATATATATATATATATATATATATATATATATATATGACTCTTCTTGGTGGCATTGCGTTGCGTTAGCACTTTAACATGATCAGAACAGATCATCTAGGTTAGTACTTCTAAGAGTTAACTACTTCTAACTTCTCTATTCTTTAAGGCAAGACTTAAAACAAGTAAAGCATGCAACAAGCATAAGTATAAGCTCTTATAATTCTTACTTTAACAACTTTCACAAAGTTTCTCTTTCAACCTTAAGGCCGTTTACTAACTGGAAATTTCTGGAAATTTCCGGAAACTGTAAAATAGAAAACAGAAAACATGTTTACTAACACAGCTTTCCATTTTGAAAACTGAAAATAATTTCCGGAAATTTCTGGAAAACTGGAACACACTTAAAATCTGTTTTTGAAATGGAAAACAGAATCATCTATCATCTATTTAGTTATATGTCACCATAACAACATTACTTTGACTACATTCATTATCATCTCATTTTAATTATCAGAGGAAATTTTAATTTTGGTCCTATGACTATAGGGGTATTGTTAATTTCAGTCTCTGACTTTCAAAAGTGTCAATTTAGTACTTTAACTATGCACTTTTTCTCAATTTTGGTCACTCCGACCAAATTGCCGGCCAAATTTCGCCGGAAAATTTTAATAGTTAAAATAATGAGGGTATTTTGGTCATTTAACGTCTCTTTTCTTCTTCTCTGACGAGTCCATCCCTTTCTCTCACGTTTCTTATGGCGGCGACGGAGCTGAAGGTGATGTCCGTGACTTTTTTCTTAAGATAATGAACGTCTGGGGGAAGGTAAACCACCGCGGCCTC